TCATATCTAAAATCAACACGAATATGATAAGCAAGTTCACGATACAAAAACTAATTTCATAATGTCACACACTAATCAAATCCAACAATTCGCACTTGGTTCTCTTATCTTTACCAATTAACCAACTTGACAACAAAAAACGACCCCAGACTAACGAACGATGATCAAGTTAGTAAACTTTAAATAAAGCATAATTATATTTTAATAGTTTACACACAATGATAAGTTTTGTTATTGGTAATATTTCGAGCAAAATTACTGCCCGTGTTCACACCACTGTTGGAATTGATATCATAACAGATGTACTATTACCTCTGATATTTGGTTTAGTGATCTCCATTGTTATTTTGACTTTCAATATGTCCTTTTAACTTGACCTAAGTCTATTTTCTCACCCCTTAACTCTTTGCTACATATATATATATATATATATATATATATATATATATATATATATATATGCTGATATTTTGTAAATTCCGGTTTAATAATACTACTTTGATAAAGCTATTAGCAGCATTAAATACAGAAATGTCAGTTAACACAACAATATCGTTTTGTTTTTCATTCATTGGGAAATACAAAAACCTTTATTATAATGAATTCACTGTCATTTGTTCTCTCCCTCTAGCATACACAGTCTGATGGCCAGATCTACCTCAGCCACTGAAAATAATCCAATGTCTATTGGGAATCCGATTACAGGTGGAAGTGCAATCGCAAGGAATGAAGACGCTTTGCACCATCTTATGAAGGAAATCACAGATCAACTCAAGAATCTTTCAGTCACACCGACATACCTCTGCTTAGATATTGAAGATGAACTGGATTACAGTGAATATGACTATAATCTCGATGATTGGTTGTCAATGTGTTGAGAGGAAATCCACCTATCAGAATACACTCACTATTTAATTGTCTCGTTTTTATTCGAAGAATGAGTCTTCCTTATCAATTTCAACATGAGTGTATTCTAGACTGCGTAGATATTCTCGATGGATTTAGGGATCGATTGATGATGTGTGAACAGCGGAAGGCGTCAGTGGTGTATGAGGCACAAATTATTCTGAGACCGAACAATTCGGTCCAATCAATCGACGGGAAAATCTCAAATTCAATAAAATTGATATGACCCGTTGCACAAGAGGTGGCTCTCGTGGCCCAAATGGTCTAGTGGATAACGAAACAACAACAGTGTGTCGGAAAGAGAAGGATATTTTGATTCCGTAAGAGAGAAATCAAGTGCTACTGAACAGGGATTAACAATGATCATGGTGTCTAGATGATTCGAATGTTAGTGGATTTAGTGAGATATAGAACATCGGCGAACTAGTATGAGTAATGTTTCTGGAATAAAACGTAAGATGGGAATCACCTGTAACAGCCAGATACTTAGGTGTATACATTAGGCGGATGTGTAAGTCATTAGGAAATCGTTAATGCCTAAGTGATATGTGAGACTATATTGTTTGTAAGTTCACCTCATTGCCTTAGATATCCAACGTGTGAATCATGATAATTAAAGTTAAAGTTTAGACCTATTGCAATCACCTCCACTCTTTTGAAATTAATGGAGAAACTACCGTTACTCAAACTGAAAACCTCTTCAAGAAGTCTTAATAATTCCAAACAGTTTATTCACATGACAACAAGGGGTGCTAGTGTAGTGCCTTTGATAAAAATAAACTAAGGAAGGATATGTTATCAGTCAAAAATGAATTTTCTCAATCCCCCAACGAAAGAAATAAGACTGAAATGATCGGGTATCAGCTTACATCCATACATTTCGATAAGAATGATAATTAACCACCTAATTGGCTGAGATATCTATCTGCAATCATATCCAACCAACAGGTTCAGTGATATACCAAGGCTTTATGGTTCATTACAGATACACACGATTGGTCACTTGCTCTGTTCAACTCTTCATACCTTAGATTTTCCTTTATCATAATTCTGTTGCAAAATAGTCGACTGGTACAAGAAAACAACATGTATTCGATTCGTGATAACTTCCAATTCATCAGTTGTATATACAAGACAAACTGGTTGAAGAAGCAGTCAGCGAAGACAGGACTCCAGATTAACATAGACAAGACGGAGGTGATGAAAATAACCAACCAACCAACAACAGCAACAACATCCAACGTCAATCACCATCAACGGGAGGGATTTGAAATAGGTTACTTCATTCAGTCACTGATCTAGGGAGCATTGTCTCAACTACAGACAGTCGGAACAAACGAGGATGTCGAGAGAATCGAGAATCGGAAAGGTGAGCGAGAAACACATTCATCAACCTGAAACCAATCTGGAAAACTAATCTTCGTCACTCACCCAGCATCAACAACAAAATTCAGTCGGATTTTCAATACAAACATGGTCAAGTCAGTCAGCTCTTCTATACGGATCAGAAACTTGGTGGGCGGGTGACGCGGACGTTACCTTTATCAACCAACAACTGTCTTCGCTGGATCTATACTGAAGATCAGATGGCCGGACCGGAAAGAATCACCACCAACAAGAAACTATAAGAACAAACAAAACAAGAACAAACCAATCGCCAACCAGCAAATATGCAGGAGAAAGTGGAGATGGATGGATTAGACACTAGCTGAGGAGGCCGCCGCTGGGTGACATCGCGCGCGCGTCAGGCCATTTCTCGAGTGGAATCAGGCCGAAAGGGAAGCGGCGAGTGGGTCGTCAGTGGAAGGGTGACATGGAGGAGATGGTGTGAAGAAAAGTTGAAACAGTATGGACTGAGATGGATGTAGGTGAAACGTACAGCAGAATACAGAAGCAAGTGAAGACGTGCAGTTGAAGCCGTATATTCCACTAGGAACCCAAGGGAACAATAATGATAATATACAGGACATGAATGTTACTAACAAAAGTAGGCCATCTTTCGACATTGAATCACTTTTCACCAATGTCCCACCTACGGAAGCTGTCTGTTTTATATGTAAATATATAGACGACAACTATTTCTGTGATGATAGCTGGCTGCGATCCAAATTGGTAGACAGTAATTTACTTCAGTGTTTACGTCCTCAATATTTGTCGTGAGAAAAATACGCTGATTCAACTATTATTATTATTATTGTCACTATCTCTACTATCATTATTTATTATATTATTTTTACATTTCCTTACATATTTCCTGACTAATTTATCAGAGTAATTATCAAGTTTCAAGGCTTCTCTTAGATACCCCACTTCCTGTCTTAGATTTTCCTTAGTACTACTTAGTTTTTGTGCTCTGTCATTTAAACATTTCACCAATTCGATTTTCACCGACATACTATGGGCTGATCGGAAGTCTAAATATCTGTTTTGAGGTGTGGGTTTCCTGTAAACACACTAGTGTTTAACTTCCCATCTTCTTTCCTTTTTACGTTGCAATCAAACATTGGAAGCGACGACAAATAGGAGAAGACAAGGAAAACTATGAAACTCAAGTTTCAAAGTCATGTGATTACAATTCATATGATTATGAACGGCAATAAATTTTGTTCGAAATTGTGCCATCCCGTAAATAATACTGTTTCACTGTGTGATATATTTGAAAAACAAACTCACGTAGTCGTGTAAGGGCTTATGGAGAATTGTCATCTGAATTGATAACAACCAGTGGTGTCCGACAGGGATGTCCACTTTCCCCATTCCTGTTTAACTTCATCATAGATATGCTAATGGAAGTATCCTTAACTGAACTTGACGACTTACGAATCCAATTGTTACCAGGGAATAGTCTTATGGATTTAGAATATGCAAATGACATAGTCCTGTTAGAGGAAGAAGCTGACAAAATCCAACAGAGTCTTCTGTACACCTTGAGCAGCAATCTTCGTATGTTTGGCATGCGATTCGCCCCTACAAAATGCTGCTACAGGACTGGACTAAGTCAACTCCTAACTTAGTGATAGGGAGTGAAGTGATAGAACATGTTGACCACTTCACCTATTTGGGAAGTTGTATCAGCACCAACGGACTGATTGGCGACGAAATCTCACCACGGATCCAAAAAGCTCGAGCTGCTTTCACTGACTTACACCATCTCTGGTGTTGGCGTGACATCCGGCTATCAACCAAGGGACGTGTGTACTGCTCAGCAGTTCGCTCCATCCTTCCCTATGGCTCTGAAACATGGCCAATACGAGTTGAAGACATGAAAAGGTTTTCTGTTTTTGATCATAGATGTCTGCGATCTCTTTCTCACGTTAGGTGGTTTAATAAGGTAAGTAATGTTGACGTTAGGCGTAGTGTTGAGCAAAGAGGGAAAATCAATCGACGAGGCTATAAAGTTCCATAGATTGAGATGGCTAGGTGACGTGCTCCCCATGCCTGCCCCCCCCCCGCCGACGGGCATTACTAGCTGGCTGATATAAGTGCAGGTTGGAAAAGAGTGAGAGTGGTGGCCAAACAAAAACATGGCCTCACCAATCCATGAAATCCTTGACAGTTAAACTGAGTCGGGTAGGGTAGGAGATGCAGACTTCCGGGTTGGAGCCCTCGGGAAGGACTCTAGGAATCAATGGCTGGAGAAAATAGGTGACACATGGCTCAAAATCGTTGTCAATGGCCAGTGCAGATGTATTCAGTCTCTGTAATCTTTCATATTCCTTTCTACCATTACCCATTCTGTTTCACTCTTATACATGTCAAACTCTTCACTCATCTTTTTGTGTAGCTTTGTGTGCTATTTGGAACGTGGCAAGTCGAAGTGCTGCACTTCGGTGTCAAATTCTATTTTGAATCCAGGCAGAATATGGAACTGCCATATATTAATTCTACAGTTTTGCTCGTGAAAGGGGTAATGACTTTGGATGCTCGTCACATGGTTACAAAAAAACAATATATAAAATGGAATACAAAATTTTTATTCGTATAATAAAGGTATTATTATTATTATTATAAAAATTATGATTATATGATTACTATATGTAAATATACACAGTCACGTTGCACTGAAGGGAGTTAGTTAGTTAGTTAGTTGGTTATTATAATTCGTCCATTAGCACTGAATGATAATCCAACAACAATGGAGAATTCATAACTGCATCCCACATTTTATGAGCATATGTAATCCTAAAATCAAAAAAAAGAAAGTTATATTTAATCATTTTTTTTAGAGAAAAAAGGCGGTTGATACATACCATTTTTTCTCAGTTAAATTTGGCATCATATGCTGTCGAGGTGTAGAGAAAACAGCGTCTTGTAAAATACGTGCAGATGTCATGTAGGTTGGACATCCTGTTGGTGTTTGGCCTAAACAAAAAGTGAAAAGCCAATTATTAAGGCATGAAATGAATTTGTAAGTAGCAGGATATAAAACTCACTAACACGCTATTAGTAGATAATAAAAATAATAATAAAATATTTAGAGCGAAAAACTGTGTTTTCAATAAATCCTTCTTCAGACTCTACAATTATAAATCCATTAATTTAAGCATACAATAGCCAGTCAATAAAGGCAAATTAGAATCATATCAGAAAGTGTATTGTGGAACAAATATAAGTAAGATGAGATGAAACAATAGTCAGTCAATGGTATGTATCCACATGATGTGTGTGTTTTGTTGTTGACAGTCTATTATATTTTGCTATGTGTATATGGGTCGATATTTCATTATAACTGACAATATGCTTTTGTCTGTCCACTCACTAAATAAACATGTATGACCTTGATATCACATGACATTACAACCAATCATGGTAAGATGTTATCTTATTGGTTCATGTGTATTAGCCATTTCCATATATACTTTGCATTGTACATTTTATCATTCTTGTTCACATATTTCATAAATTTAAGTACCCTTCCACTCACACACTTGTGTGACATTTATTTCCCTTATCTGGAAAATACAAGTATCATCGTAAGCCTCGTGGTCTTTTGATTTCCCTCTTTCCACGTCAGGACTATTAACTACTCGACGAGCAGTACATAACAGTCAGGTGTCGAGAGTGACTGTAATCAGGGTGTGTGAGACAATATGAAAATACCCATCAAGATTCGTAGACAAAAACATCAAACAAAAAATCCAAAATCAGGAGACACCATCGGTGCCTAAAAAGATACTTTATATGAACCTGGACTTCAGAGGAGTCCTACATAGTGACGTCCTCAGAAGGGGAATTTCCACGTCTTTAGGCAGAACTTTCCCTGAGGCAACATTAAAGTAGTGTTCTCCAATCGCCCGCTGATCTGCAGAAGCCCAAACAATAATTAGTCTAAGGCACGTAGGAATATGTAGACTTCTTGACTCGTTGGGGTTCTGGGGACGGTAAAAACCAATGGTTGGAAACAATTGGTGATATACCTCAAAATCGTTCTCAACGGCTGGCTGGCGCAGATGCATCCACTCCTTGTGACTTATGATTACCAATGAAACTATATTGTTCTTCGTTATTACTATTCCTTTGTCTCACACCTCTGTTTACTGTCTCTATTATGCTTTTCTTGTACTTTCTTCTGTTGCTTTGTGTGATACATGGAGGGAGTGAGGCGACTTGAACTGTCGCACACCGGTGCAGAGTTCTATGTCGAGAACAGACAGACAGAAGCCCGAAGGATAAGATTTCGCACATGACCACTTCTATGTGTATATATCAGTTCACCTGTTGCTGTGGAGCCAGGTACATGGGTCGTTCAACGCGCATCATGTCAAAACGGTCAAAGAACACTATCCAGCGTGGCTACAGAAAGGAAATAATGGCCCTATAAGGAGTGCAATAATCGAACATCTCATCAACACTGGTCATTCCATCTCAACAAACGTCTCCTTCAAAGTAATCTACAAAGTGAAGAACAACGATTCCGTCTTCTTTGTATCGCAGAAGCCCTAGCCATTCAGTTGATGGAATCAGAACTATGCATACAAAATGAAATTATCCAACCACTTCTACTCTCATGGTAACAACTCCGTTGATTTGAGCTAACTTTTCTTTGTTTGTTTGATTTGACCTTACTTCTGTTTGTATGCTTATTTTTCTTTTTTCTAACTTAAGACCCTTGTGAAATTCCATATATTATTTTGTTTCCATGTTCACCCTGAGAGCACAACTCTTTCATCAAACTATTCACGCCATCACGTAACTCTTATTTAACAATCATTTATGATAACACATCACTTTTGTTACTATCCTCTTATATCAACATCCAATTCACCTGAACTTACTAATTGTATTTTCGTTTGACAAATTTAATGTATACACACACACACACAAAATAACCATATATATTTGCGATTGTACAGCCATGAAAATGAATTCGCCGAAAAGAAACTCTTCGCTGAATTACTTGTCTTTTGTCTATTAATGTTCGAATGGGAATTATTCATGAATATGAAAATAAACCAAGAATGGGCGGTCTGGACATAAGTTCAAGGTTGAAAATAACAACAATAAGAATAATACTTTGATAGAACTATTAGCAGCATTAAATAGCGAAACGTCAGTAAAACAATATCGTTTTGTTTTTCATTCATTGGGAAATACAAAAACCTTTATTATAATAAGAATGATTGTAAAATAATAATAATGAATATAATGAAGTGGAATGAACAGGATTTTGTATATACGAGATAGCAAGTTAATTATTATACAATCATTCTTAATGTCGTTATTTTCAACCTTGAAATTATGTCTAGTCCGCCGCCTCATTCGTTGGTTTATTTTCATATTATCTCACACACTCTGATTACGCTCACTCTCAAACTTGTATTTTCTGTTGACCATATTAATGTTTATAAACACACATCATGAAATTAAATTACTTCATCTCATTTTGTCCCATGTTCTCATTGACCATGCATATTAAAAAACTATCTGACTACATGACTATTGTTCCATCCCACCCCATCTTATACTTGTTTCCACAATACACTTTCTGATATGATTCTAATTTGCCTTTACTGGCTGGCTGACTGGCTATTGTATGCTTAAATTAATTAATGGATTTATAATTGTAGAGCCTGAAGAAGAGGAATTTATTGAAAACGACAACTGTTCTCTCTAACTATTTTGTTCTGAATAAATTATGGGAATATCCAGTGGGTGCGTACTGCCGATGATTCCCAAACTAGGATGAAACAGCAGCTGTCCAGTACTCCCTGTGGCTGGTTTTCAATGGTTCTCTAACTGATATCAATCTGTGATCAACTCGTAAAACATAACTAATCCTTACAAACCAAAACTATAGAAAGTTAATCTGATGCTCGCTAGTGACTTGCTACAGGTTGGAGTTTCCTGAGTTCTAGTGAGAAGTCGTGACCAGTGAGGTCCAATTAGATGTCACGTGTGTGGATGGATGTCCCACCAACGACAATGGTTGGGGTCGCGCTAAAATCACGAATTGGTAGAAGTTAGAATTAACGAGCCATTGAATCGGGTCCCAGTGGCTGAATGGTATACGAGCTTGCCTTGTAACCGGAAGGTCCTGGGTTCGAAACCCAGTGGGTGCGTACTGCCGATGATTCCCAAACTAGGATGAAACAGCAGCTGTCCAGTACTCCCTGTGGCTGGTTTTCAATGGTTCTCTAACTGATATCAATCCGTGATCAACTCGTAAAACATAACTAATCCTTACAAACCAAAACTATAGAAATAATAATAATAATTTACATAGACTTATATATATATATAAAATTTTAACCAATGACGGTGATTGATAAAAGATAAGTTAAGCTTTATTCCAAATCAGTACTTGTGGTACAGAATGGAATTCTCAGGATTTTACTACAATATTGCATCCAGTTAGTACATTAACAATAAATATACTTCTACATAGATTAAGGTTATCTCAGTCAGTTATGACAACAACATATTAGCATGTCAGTAGCAAAGCCAAAATTTAAACAGAGTGTTTGAAGGTGTTAGAAAAAAGTAGATACTACTAGCATATTTACTGGCGTAAGCAATAGCAAAATGGTCGAGGTATACAGAGTGTGAAAGAACGAACAAGAATGTTTTAAGTAGAGTTTGTAAGGAAGAGAGAAACAAAACAGCACATAACAAAAAAAAGGTAGAGAGAAAAGTGTTTTATATGCAGGTAGAGAATATCTCAACTATCTTATTACATAGAAATCTCTACTCTTTGTGCAGAATTCTCAAGTCAAATAACCCTAACTGGCAGGATATCTGTAACAAGAGAAGACAAGGGCAAGGCAACAGATCGTTTTTCAAGGAAATCAACACATATTTAAAGATTTTCATGTACATTATTATAGATTATTGTTAGCAGAGAAACACAGTCTTCTGATTGGTTGTTTCTCACAGAAAGTTAACCTTGCATCTCTTTGTGGCTGTTTCGTGAATGTCATATCATCTTTATGTTAACTGTATCCGCCTACGCAAAGTCTGCTCTGACTGGTTGTTGAGTCAGTCTTTGTTCTTAATAATATTAATATGATAATAATAATAATAATAATAATAATATCTCATTTTGTACATGAGGGACGCTAGTTTACAGGCATCATCAATATGATAAATTATATGTACGATTAGCAGTCATAATTAATAATGTTTTAATAAAATACATATTTTTTTCCTACCTGTGTAGGACACACCAAATGTACAGGCATGGATAGGCATTATTTAAATTTCATAAATTTGGTTTATGGTTAAATTACATGGTTGCTGACGTTTTTGTCTTTGGTTAGTGGGAACAATATGATAACAAGTCATTCAATGGAGCACATCATGAAATATAGGAATATTGACTTCGCATTAACAAAAAAACCCAAGTATGTTATGGGTGGATTACAAATACTTGGGAAAATAAATAAAGCTTGCGGTAATTCACCAATATAACTTAGGTGTGTACAAACCGAATCTTATTCTTGATTTATATCCAGATTTGGTAATAATTAAAATAAGTGATACACTTTAATAGTTTTGTCAGCATTTTCATCGTAGCATCACAAGTGAATTGTACTCAATGTTCTTTACTCATGACCAATATTTGGGAGATGACGTAAATTACTGTCTGCCAATTTGGCCAGCGTCGGTGGCACAGGCCGACCATGCACATGGTCTGGGGTTCGATCCTAGGCCAACGCACTCCTTTACGTCGCTAAGCCAATAGTGAGACTGGTAATGGGGAAAGGTTAGGATGGGGGGCTAGCAACCCCATACTGTAAAAATTAACACTGCTACAAAGACTTCAAGCCTCTAGCTTGGAGCCTTATGTTACACTGGGAACGTGAAGGAAAAATAATTAGGCTTACAGGAAGCTCTCATCACATATCAATATAATGGAAAATCTCACTCCCTTTAGGTGAACAGGATTTCCGGGTGTCATTAAGTGGAATGGAGCCAGGTTGGCTTTAGACCAGGAAGAAGGTGTATTGATCATATCTTCACCCTCCGACAGATTCTAGAACATAGTCATTCCCACCGGTGTCCAACAATCATTATATTTCTTGACCTAAAGGCGGAATTCGAATCCGTCGACCGAGAGGTAATCCCGCGATGCTTGCCTGTAAAGCTATTACCGACAAAATACATTGCACTGATTAAGGCACTCTACTCCTACTCATACAGCCAGGTGAGGGCTTACGGCGAGCTGTCATCTGAACTGGTGACGACTAGTGGTGTCCATCAAGGATGCCCATTATACCCTTTTCTATTCAACTTCATCACAGATGAGTTAATGGAATTAACCCTAAGTGACTTCCGCGACTCAGGGATTGACTTGCTACCTAGAAATAATCTCGTTGACTTGGAATATGCAGACGATATAGTCCTTCTAGGCGAAGACGCTGACGAAATGCAGAGTCTTCTGAACACCTTCAGCTGTAATCTACGAATGTGTGGCATGCGATTTGCTCCCGCCAAATGCAAGATGATGTTACAGGACTGGACTACATCGACGCCTAGTTTAAAAATAGGAAGTGAAGTGGTAGAGCACGTTGACCGCTTCACTTATTTGGGAAGTACCATCAGCCCCAACGGGTTGATCTCTGACGAAATCTCAGCACGAATACAAGGGGCTCGTTTCGCATATGCCAGTTTACGCCGACTCTGGCGTAGACGAGATGTTCGACTATCGACCAAAGGATGGGTGTACTGCTCATCAGTCCGCTCCGTCCTCCTTTATGGCTGGCTGTGAGACCTGGCCACTGAGAGTGGAAGACATGAAAAGACTAGCTGTCTTTGATCATAGGTGCCTGCGCTCTATTTCCTGTGTAAAGTGGCATAATAAGGTGAGCAACATTGAGGTTAGGCGTCGAGTTCTAGGTGAACAGGGGAAATCAATCGACGAAGTCGTGAAGTTACAAAGACTGAGATGGTTAGGACACGTGTTACGCATGCATCTCTAGTCATCGCCTTCCTCGGCGAAAAATGTTAGCGGATATAGGGTCAGGTTGGAAAACAACTAGCGGAGGTCAAACAAAAACATGACTTCATCAGTCAATAAATCCACAACAGTTCGTTTAAGCCACCCAGTCATGTGGGAAAGTGTAGACTTCTTTATTTGTTGGGGTCCTCGGGACGGTAAAAACCAATGAAGACTGGCGATAATTGGTGATATGACTCAAAGTGATCGTACTCAATGGCTGGCTGGCGCAGATGCATCCACTCCTTGTGACTTATGATTACCAATGAAACTATATTGTTCTTCGTTATTACTATTCCTTTGTCTCACACCTCTGTTTACTGTCTCTGTTATGCATTTCTTCTACTTTCTTCTCTTGGTTTGTGTGATACATGGAGGGAGTGTGGCGACTTGAACTGGTGCACATATGTACAAAGTTCTGTGTCGAAAACAGACAGATAGACAGACAAGAATGATCAAAGAAACAGTAAGATTACGCAGTGTGAAAAGACTTCAGTGATTCAAACAAACTAACTAAGATTATTTGAGTTTCTGTCTTTAAATCTGGAATTAGTTCAGCTTTCTTTTTCTTTTATGCCAGGCTCTACAAATGTTTCTATGTAACGTAAACTAGATATTGGGTAAAAGAAAGGGCCAAGTTAAACTTTAAGCACCAGTGGAGTGAGACCACATCAATCACCTTGAAACTGTTACACAGGATATCCTCCTTTGGCATGTGACACAAATAGCTCTGAGTTTTGGTTTGGAGCAACAACACAGTAGTTTGACCACATTTTATGCCTGTAATTATCTAGATCTTCTGACTCTAACAATGAACCTAATCTTTCATTAACCTAACCTTAATTTGAAAATATCCCTAGACTAAGATACAATCGGTGGATGGTGACTAGCAGTGGAATCCAGGATGCGCATTTCGTCCTATTTGGGACTCGTCATCCGGATGTACCTGCATTTCTCAGTGAGTGATGATGTTCTCACCGAGGCTCGAACCCGGTACCCATAGTTTCAAACTTCAAAGCGTTATCCACTAGACCACTTGGGCCACGAGAGCCACCTCATGTGCAACGGGTCATATTAATTACCGAATTGGATTTTTTGATTTTCCCGTCGATTGATTGGACCAAAGTGCTCGGTCTCAGGTTGACATGTCGGCTTCACTCACTGAGAAATGCAGGTACATCCAGATGACGAGTCCCAAATATGACGAAATGTTCAGCCTGGATTCCACTGCTAGTCGCCATCCACCAATTGTATCCTAACTAAATGCCCAGACATCGTCGAAGCATCTGCACAAGAAGCCAACATGTCAACCTGAGACCGAGCACTTCGGTCCAATCAATCGACGGAAAATCAAAAAATCCAATTGAATAATCCCTAAACTAACCCTAATCTCACTAGAACCAACCTCTAATGTCACTCTCATTAGGTTAACCAATCATTAACCTGTGCTTAGTCTAAATCTTAACTTAATCGCCTCCAAACCTAACTTGAAACTTGCCAGGTATCCCATTTAGCAATATAACGCTCCGTTGAGCATATTTTATCTGTGATTACAATATTATTTACCACATTTGCCTATCTTGCTCACTGAACGTTTCAGGGTCCATGGTACGGTAGCACTCCACTGGTATTTACTGGTGCTTAAAGTTTAACTTTGCCACAGTAAGAATCAAATATTTTTAAGGTGAAGATATGCTACTAATAATTTTCTGTCTGTCTGTCTGTTTTCGACATAGAACTTTGCACAGATGTGCACCAGTTCAAGTCACCACACTCCCTCCATGTATCACACAAACCAAGAGAAGAAAGTAGAAGAAATGCATAACAGAGACAGTAGACAAGGATGAGACAAAAGAATAGTAATAACGAAGAACAATATAGTTTCATTGGTAATCATAAGTCACAAGGAGTGGATGCATCTGCGCCAGCCAGCCATTGAGTACGATCACTCTGAGTCATATCACCAATTATCGCCAGTCTTCATTGGTTTTTACCGTCCCGAGGACCCCAACAAATAAAGAAGTCTACACTTTCCCACATGACTGGGTGGCTTAAACGAACTGTTGTGGATTTATTGACTGATGAAGTCATGTTTTTGTTTGACCTCAGCTAGCATTGCCCATTGTCGAGGAAGGCGATGACTAGGCTAAGCATGCGTAACACGTGTCCTAACCATCTCAGTCGATGAAGCTTCACAGTCTCGTCGATTGATTTCCGCTCACACTTACCTAACAATCTACATCTAAACTCAGTATTGCTCACCCTATCACTTCATACGGGAGATAGAGCGCAGGCACCTATGATCAAAGACAGTTAGCCAGGCCTTTCACGTCTTCCACTCTCAATGGTCAGGTCTGACTCACAGTCATAATAATACGAATAATTTAGCATTGGAATGTAGTAATATATCATCTAAACAGCATAATTAAAACAAATCGATTTTGTTTTTAAATTCTTTAAGATTGGCATAGCAATTATTAAATTGTTATATGCTTGTAGTCCCGGCTGACAAGTGCTGCCTTGCCGTGGTGGGTGGACTTGAATACCACAGTGATCCAACAAGCTAAACTGGCTGGGACTCATGTCCCTATAAGTCCTACCATGTCAGGAAGGTTGTTTGCATAGCGGTTAGACTAAAAGCAGTTACCATGGGGTACATGGGATGCAGAATCCAATCGAATCAAATGGTGTATGAACCCATATGGATCACTTGAAACCATGGGAATGCAGCTCCTGACGCTGCTCCACTGCCTTTCGGATTAGACTCCAAGTCAAAGGCTCGGGGGCGGGTGGTCCCTTAATAAAACAGCCTACTTCGGTCTGGGCGCCCGGGCAACACACAACAAATGAAATTTTGTGTGGCGCATTTTTCTTGGTGCCATATTGTACCAAGTTTTTTCTGCGTTTACATAAATAAATAAAAATATGCTTGTAGTAAACAAACCTTTAACACAAGCTATATATACACACAAACATCTTTACCTTTAAATTTATAAGCTAAGAAATTGACGACAAAACTCACCCTTATTATTTACTTCTGGTATCAAGAACAGCCGTGGTTTATCTAGTCTCCTTTGAACATTGAAAAAGTCACGTCTGGTAGTGTTTACATCACGATGCATTTCCATAAGACTAACATTCAGTGTTTCAGCGTTAATCCCAGGAATATCCAATAGATTATGCTTTGTTAAATCATAATCTTCAAAGGACAATAATTCCGACACTTCCTTTTTTATATCAGCATCTTTCGTGGAGAGATGATGATTATCAGGCGAAGATAGCCTGTCCTCTTCATTACCAGTACAATTCAGTTCATTTTCTATACTTCGCAAGACATTGCAACATTGAGAAACTATATTTGATGAGGATGAATCCAATTTCTTGATATTATTATTATTGACAGTGTCATTATTAGTATTACTATTATTCGATGTGGTATATCTATAAATAAAGAAAAGCAAAATATACACCAGTGACTGGAAAATGTGTATGCAGTTGTGTTTTCAGTTTTATTTTGCTGGATCCTGTTGATAGAACAGATCGTTTTCAAGTATTGCTTTTGTAGACACGGAGGTTATGAAAATAACCAACCAACCAACAACAACAACAGCAGTAACATCCAGCGCCAATCAACATCAACGGGAGCGATTTGAAATAGGTTACTTCATTCAGTCACTGATCTAGGGAGCATTGTCTTAACTACAGGAAGTCAGAACGGACGAGGATGTCGAGAGAATCGAGAATCGGAAAGGCGAGGAGAAACACATTCATCAACCTGAAACCAATCTGGAAAACCAATCTTCGTCACTCAGCGAGCATCAACAACAAAATTCAGTCGGATTTTCAATACAAACGTGGTCAAGTCAGTCAGCTCTTCTATACGGATCAGAAACTTGGCGGGCGGGTGACGCAGACGTTACCTTTATCAACCAACAACTGTCTTCGCTGGATCTATACTGAAGATCAGATGGCCGGACCGGAAAGAATCACCAACAAGAAACTATGGGAACAAACAAAACAAGAACCGATCGCCAACCAACAAATATGCAAGAGAAAGTGGAGGTGGCCGCTGGGTGACGTGGCGCGCGCGTCAAGCCATTTCTCGATTGGAACCAGACCGAAAGGGAAGCGGCGAGTGGGACATCAGTTCTCGTTTTAAATTTATACATAAAAAGGGAAATAAACACACATACGACGAAGTTACAGTTGACTTTCAAATGCACAATAATCCACGATACGGATCGTATTCATACAGTAATGCATATCGTCAAGCAGCAGGTCTTTCTTTCTCTTTCTTTATCGTGCAAATAAGCTTACGGTTAAAAAAGAAAGCCCGAAAATATGAACAAAACACATTATACACAAGATAAACTCATATTACTAACCCATGAAAATTTTCAGGTGTAACAATCTCGGATTTCTCCTGACTTCTGACTCGTGAGGGAGACATTGAGCAAAATCTAATAATAACAACAATAATAATAATAAAAATTTACTTTATTGCAAAAAACAGTACTTGTGATACAGAATGGAATTTTCAGCATTTATCACAATATTGCATCTAATTTCCTCAAATTATAAATAAAATTATTCACTGCCTGTCTGTTTTCGACATAGAACTTTGCACCGATGTGCACCAGTTCAAGTCACCACACTCCCTCCATGTATCACACAAACCAAGAGAAGAAAGTAGAAGAAATGCATAATAAAGACAGTAAACAGAGGTGTGAGACAAAGGAATAGTAATAACGAAGAACAATATAGTTTCATTGGTAATCATAAGTCACAAGGAGTGGATGCATCTGCGCCAGCCAGCCATTGAGAACGATCACTTTGAGCCATATCACCGACTGTCGTCAGCCTTCGTTGGTTTCCATCGTCTCGAGCACCCCAACCAGTCCGGAAGTCTACACTTTCCTCCGTGGCTGGATTGTGGATTTCATTGACTGATGAAGCCATATTTTAGTTTGACCACCGCTATCTCTTTTCCTGCCTGACCCTATGTCACCTAACATTGCCCACTGTAGAGGAAGGCGATGACTAGGGATGCATGAGTAACACATGTCCTAACCATCTCAATCGGTGTAACTTCACAGCCTCGTCGATTGATTTCCTCTCCCACTTAGCTAGCACTCGACAGACGCCTAACCTCAATATTGCTCATCTTATTATACCACTTCACACGGGCGATAGAGCGCAGGCACCCATAATCAAACACAGCTAGCTAGGTCTTTCATGTCTTCCACTGTCAATGACCAGGTCTTGCTCACAGCTAGCCATAAAGGACGGAGCGTACTGATGAGCAGTACACCCGCCCTTTGATCGATAGTCAGATGGATATCACATCTACTAAGCCAGAGACTGCGTAAACTAACATATGCAAAACTAGCCCTTGTATCCGTGCTGAGACTTCCTCAGAGATCAACCCGTTGACGTTGGCTGATGCAACTTCCCAAATAAGTGAAGCGGTCAACGCGCTCTACCACTTCACTCCCTATTTCTAAACTAGGAGGCAGTGTAGTCCAGTCCTATAACATCATCTTGCATTTGGCGGGAGCGAATCGTATGCCAAACATTTGCAGATTGCAGCTCAAGGTGTTCAGTTAAGATGCAAGTCTATAATTTTGTCTGATTTCTATTTCCCGCTTCACTACTTGAAGATATTTAAAAAAACGTCATTTAACTCACAAGTACTTGATTCATCTTTCACTCCGGACGAAATTAACAACATTTCAGGATTGACATTTTCAATATCATCAGGTTTTTGTGAGGACAAAAGATCTCTGTCTGGTTGGGGGGTTATTGATGGTTCAGGGCATTCAGATAATGTTACTGTGGCAGAATTCTTCCGGGAATCATCCCTTGAACCATTTGAATTATCTGCAGAACCTGAAAAGCACTGATCGACGGAATTATCGGGAACTATACGGTTAGTGGACAATTTGATCCCAGTAGCGTCTGAGTTAATTAGTGTTGGAGCATTATTCAAAAGGTTATTTCGATGTGCAGTAGTAGTACATTGGTCACGACGTCTTGATTGTAGATAGGCTGATAATGTCCTTGGACCAGCGGTAACCAATGACATTAATCTTCTATACTCTGGATACATAAGCGGGAGTATCTTATTTCTGTATCGATCTAGTTTCGCGCAAAAATCGGGATTGAGAAATGCGGCTGCCGGGGCCTGATTATACACGTGTATTAGTGAGGCCGAATAATCAGTTAGATCTGAAAGAAAAAAATTCAAAAGTATGATGGAGGTATGTAGATGACACATTCACTGTACTCAGTACACAAGATATAGATAGATTTTTCAAACACATCAACTCGAAAGTGGAGGCATTTCAATTCACTTATGATGAATTGGAAAGTCAGGAAGGAGACCTTCTAATGTTAGATTGTAATGTAAAAAGGAAAGAAGATGGGAAGTTAAACCCACACCCACGAACAGATATTTGAACTTCCGATCAGCCCATCGTATGTCGGTGAAAATCGGATTAGTGAAATGTTTAAGTGACAGAGCGCAAAAACTATGTAGTATCAAGGAAAATCTAAGACAGGAAGTGATACACATAAAAGAAGCCTTGAAACTTAATAATTACCTGGATAAATTAGTCAGGAAACATAAAGGTAAGTGTAAAAATAAAATAAATAATGATATTAGCGATAGTGATAATAATAATAATATTAATGACGACACCAACAATGAGGAATCTAAATCATTAGTAGTAATTCCATACAAGGAAGGAACCTCGGAAACCACCTTACGAAGGATTCTTAACAATACAAGCAGGAATAAAAGTGGCTCGCATTCAAACCAACCACAAACTCAATTAGAAACAAGCTTTGTCGGTTAGAGGATCAGTCCTGTGGAGCCCTTAAAACAAAACAATTTAGTTCATCTAATACCCTGACTGTGATGATTGTCAGATGAAATACATAGGTCAGAGTAGTCGAACAGGGTCAGTGGGTCAGACTAGCCGAGCATAAAAACCTAGTAGCAGAATCTGTCTGTTTTTGTTATGTACTCGTCGTCAAATTATTGCTATGTACTGGTCGAGAATTTAGTAGTCCTGACTCAAGAAGGCGGAAATCAGAAGACCACTAGGTTTGCGATGATACTTCTATTTTCCAAACACAAGGAGAATGCAAAAGTGGTATCACACCAAAGTGTCACACAAGATTGTGAGAGCGAAATATATATGAATGTCCAGACAAAGGTGTGAACAAATCAATAGACAGTCTTAACATGTTTGGCTAATTATAAGGGAGTGTCGATCCATATATACATAGCAAAATATAGCAGACATGTCAACAACCACACATATAATATGGATATATGTTACCAAGCAACGGACTGTCAACAAACACTCATATTATATATAATATAAGGGGAATATACATTGTTAAAGGAGACAGGTTCATCAAAGTGAAATGGTCACAGACTAAGCGAGCAAACAGAAAGAGAGACCACCATACATATATATATATATATATATATATATATATATATATATATATATTGATACATATCAGTTTTCGACATAGGACTTTGCACAAATGTGCACCAGTTCAAGTCGCCACACTTTCCCCATCTAGCACACATATCAGAAGAAAGTTAAAAACGAATGCATAATAGAGACAGTAAGCAGAGGTGTGAGACAAAGGAAGAGTAATAACGAAGAACAAAACAGTTTCATTGGTAATCATAAGTCACAAGGAGTGGATGCATCTGCGCCACTGAGAACGATTTTGAGCTATGTCACCAATTGTTTCTAACCATCGACTTTTACCGTCCCGAGGACCCCAACCAGGAAGCCAGTCTACACCTTCCTACGTGGCTTAGACCAACTGTTGTGGATTTCATTGACTGGTGCCATGTTTTTGTTTGACCGCCGCTAGCTTTTTTCCAGCCTGACCCTATATCCGCTAACATTGCTCGTCGAGGGAGGCGATGACTTGGCATACGTAACACATGTCCTAACCATCTCAGTCTTTCTAACTTCACGACTTCGTCGATTGATTTCCCCTGTTTACGTAGAAGTCGACCGAAGCCTAACCTCAATATTGCTCACCTTATTAGCAGAATCTAGATTGGTTGACCCGAATAAGATAAGAAATCTAGAGAATAGTTCAGCTATACCACTCGCTACATGCGGTTACACACAACCATACAATAGGATGGCGGGATAAGATGACAGTTTTAAAATCTAATGTCACAGCTGGGTGGAGGGAAAGATTGATAACAGAAGCTTTGTTCATCGAATCAACTGATGGAGAATACATGTAATAGGAATGATTCAACACCTGTCCCTGATATCTTGAAAATTCTACTACCCATACGACAAATAGGAGAAAACAAAGAAAACTATAAAACTCAAGGTTCAAAGTCGTGTGATTACAATTGATATGATTATGAACAGTAATAAATTTTGTTCGAAACTGTGTCATCCAGTAATTATTAAAATTGTATCACTGTGACATATCCATCTAATACACAAACCAATATGGAAATACATTACGGGATAGATATAAGCCTAATAATGAATTCAAGTCATAAAGGTGAACAATAATCATCAACTCGATTGTTATTTTATATTCAACAATCATTTTCTCAATCATTTTTGAACAGTTTACCACAATAAGGAAAATAAGACCGAAGTGATTAAAAAATTCTATAAATCAAGCTTAATAAAAAGGAGAAACTAAAGGTCTTAAATGTTGGACAGTTTCAAAGTAGACGGTTAACACAAACAACCTACTTACTTACTTATCAAACGATTTATTTTATTTGAAACATCTTTAGACTCAGCTTCAGGTGATTGAAGATACTGTCGAAGACAGGGATTCGATGTAGGAAAATCATCACCACCAACTTGATGATATTGTTCGGATAAAGACACGACATCGTCTTCTAATTCGCTAATGTCATCATTCTCATTACTAACGGCGGATACGTTTGTAACAGTATTAGAATGAGAAATTCGCAAATGTTGTACTGCAGTTGTTAAATTTTGTACTTCTGAAGACTTCTGGACAGTACTGTTAGCAGCAGACTTTTTACCAACCACAACATTAGACGACTGTTTATCATCATTATGCATTGCATGAAATGGAATCACATTCGGTGTAAAAACAGTAGGTTTTAAACTGATTGCTCGATCTATAAATGGATGTAATTGACTTGCTGCAGTGTTGAGATTGTCACTGACAACGAGTACCACATGGCACACGTTTATCAAGAATGCCACTATCTAAACATAAATGTGAGAGAACATGAGAATGTAGACAAACATCTTAACTTTTTTTAAATGCGTTATATATATATATATATATTGTTACATTCACAACACCGTCTGTGACATAGACGTGATATCCGACTATCGACCGGGTGTACTGCCTCCAACCTTCGTTGGAGTTTACCGTTCCGAGGACCCCAACCAGTCAACAAGTCTACATCTTCCTACGTGACTGGCTGGCTTAAACGAACTGTTGTGGATTTCATTGACTGATGAAGCCATGTTTTGGTTTGACCGCCGCTAACTCTCTTTCAACCTAAACAATCCTATGTAGGCTAACATTTACCGTCGAGGAAGGCGATGGCTATGAATGCATACGCAACACATGTCCTAACCATCTCAATCGGCGTAACTTCACAACCTCATTGACTGATTTCCCCTCCTACTTACCTAGCCTACTACTAGACACCTAACCCCAGTATTGCTTACCCTACTATACCACTTCACACGGGAGATAGAACGCAGGCACGTATGATCAAAGACAGCTAGCCAGCCAGGCATTTCATGTCTTCCACTCTCAATGGCCACGTCTCGCTCACAGCCACAAAGGAGGACGGGGCGAACTGATGAGCAGTACACCCGCCCTTTGGTCGATAATCGGATATCACGTCTACGCCATGGACGGCGTAAACTGGGGTATGCAAAACTAGCCCTTTGTATCCGTGCTGAGATTTTGTCGGAGATCAACCCGTTGGTGTTGGCTGGCGGTCAACGTGCTCTATCACTTCACTTCCTATTTCTAAACTAGGAGTCAGTGTAGTCCAGTACTGTAACATCATCTTGCATTTGGCGGGAGCGAATCGCATGCCAAACAGTCGGAGAGTGCTGAAGGAGTCGAAGTGTTTAAAAGACTCTGCATTTTGTCAGCGTCTTCACCAAGAAGAACTATATCACCCGCATATTCTAAGACAATGAGACTATCCCCTTATGGTAACAAGTCAATCCCTGAGTCGCTGAAGTCACTTAGGGTTAAGTCCTTTAGTATATCTTTAATGAAATTTAATAAAAATGAGGATAATAGGCATCCCTGACGGACACCACTAGTTGTCACCACTTCAGATGACAACTCGCCGTAAGCCCTTACCTGGCTGCACTAGTTCGTGTAGAGTGCCTTGAACAGTGCAATGTCTTATCAATGACAGACAGACAATTTATTTATCACAGATAGACGAAATTAACTATAATTCAGTGTGTTTGATATATTTATTTGTTCCCGTGCATGCATTCTACAGCTTTGATGAAATGTCCTCCTGCTGCAGGATTGGTCTTCACCAACACCCAATTTAACGATAGGGAATAAAGTGGTTGAATGTGTGTGTGTTGACCACTTCACTTGTTCGGGAAGTAGTTGTATCAGACCTAAAGGAATGATCACCGACAAAATCTATCTAAGCACAGATACAAAATGCACGTGTGGCACTAGCCAACTTACGTCATCTCTGGCGTGCAACAAGTGATATTCTCTATATCGATCAAAGGACATGTGTATTGCACATCAGTTCACTCGGACTTCCTTTATGACTATGAGACGTGACCATTCGAAGTGGAAGATGTTTGGAGAGACGAGCTGTCTTTCACTACAATCGACAATCACCAAGTGTCTAAGAAAGTATTAGAGACGAACAGTTGAACAGTTTGCGTATATCTGGTGGTGTTCACTAGAAGTCTAAACTCCACAGTGTTGCAGCATACGGTGAGAGAAAAGATGGAAAGGACTTACCAGTCACCAGTCACATAAAGTTAGCGTAAATGGGTTTTTTCTGTTATTTGTTTAACTTAGAATTGGATCGGGTCCAAGTGGCTGAATGGTATACGAGAAATCTTGTCTTGTGACCGGAAGGTCCTGGGTTCGAACCCTGGCAGTGGGTACGTACTGCTGAAGAGTCCCAAACAAGGATGAAACAGCAGGTGTTCAGTACTCCCAGGCTTTCCAATAGTTCTTTAACCAATGTCAGCTCATGATGAAATCCTGTAACCAATCAAATCCCTACAAACCAGCACATGAATAACTTAGAATTGTTTAACGAATCAACTGATCTGTAAATGGTTTTAATCTGAAACCAAGATCATTTAATTTAGAGACTCAAGACAACTACAGTGTGCAGAAATGTGAGAGAGAGAAATAATAATAACACGCAAAAACATAAGGGTTTAATGGATATCGCAGATCGCAATGAGTGGACACGTCTGCACCATTGTGAACGATTCTAAGCCATATCACCATGTCTCCCCCACCATCAATTCTTAGCATCCTGAGGACCCCAACCAAGTAGCCTACACATCCCTACATGGCTAAAATCAGTTTTCAAAGACTTCATGAAATTATACTACGCTTCGGTTTCACCAATCCTAACTCCTTTTTAACCCAACACTTTGTCAACTAAAGTCCGTCATCGAGAAAGGCAATGGTTAGGCATGCGTAGCACATGTCCCATCCATCTCAATCTACTCTCTTGCACAATCTCATAGACTCATAAATTGACAATTCGCTTAACTAAAATATTACTCACCCTAATATATCACACAACACGAAAGATGGAACGCAAACATTTCTAGTGAAAGACAGCTAGTCTCTCCATACATCTTACACTTCGAATGGTCACGTCTCATAGTCATAAAGGAAGTCAATGCGAACTGATGCGCAATACACGTATCCTTTGATCGATATCGGGGATATCACTTGTTGTACGCGAGAGATGACGTAAGTTGGCTAGTGCTACACGTGCATTTTGTATCTGTGCTTAGATAGATTTTGTCGGTGATCATTCCTTTAGGTCTGATACAACTTCCCAAACACCTGACTGATAGCTGCTACCTTGACATAATGGTCGGGCTTGCACATCGCAATGATCCAACAAGCTACACTGCTAGAACTATTGTTCCTGCAGGTCCTACATTGCCAGGATGGTTATTAGGATAGCAATTAGACTAAAAGCAGTTACCGGCTTAGTGTAAAAATTTTTTACACTAAGCTAGGGGTCTGTGGGCGAAGTTGTACTGCTGGAGAAGAAAGGCATCAGTGAACCCAGTCTCAACCTTCCCATACTAAAACACTGGTACAAATTTGACTAACCTGCATAGATGCCATTTCAGCCCAGACTTCTAATTTCCAATTGCCAGGACCTGTAAAAGATGAATTTCCTGTCTGATTTCCAGATGTAGATGAAGCTTCTGCAGAAGTCGCCATATGAATATGATAATTTGTAAGTGCAAATGAGAGAAGAGGCTGAAAAGGAGACCGAGGATATTCAGAGATCTTTTTTTACACACTGGTAAGAGCAAACATGATAAAAAAAACCATTGAGATATTTATAATGAACGGTCAAAGGAAAGGGGATTCAACGCACAACAAGAGAACTTTCAATACGAATCACTGTGTTGACGCAATAAAAATAAGGTAGCAGGGAGTGTAAAAAGTAGTATGTGTGTGTTTTAAACCAACCTCCAAGCAACTAGTTTCTAATACCACTTGTGAAATAAAATCAATTCCCATCTATAGTCGGTCTGTGAGTCGATGGCATAGCGGTTAGGACGCTCGCCGACCATCCACATGGTCCGGGGTTCGATCCCCGCCCGGTCGACGCACTCCTTTACCTCGCTAAGCCAGAAATAATCCTGGTAAGGAGGGAAAGTTGGGTATGAGGCTAGCAACCGCATCCTGTAAAACAAACACTACTACAGGAACTTCAAGCCACTAGCTTGAAGCCGTATGTCCCACTGGGGAACGTGGAGGATAAAAAATCTATAGTCGGTTAATAAAAGTCACGTAATTCTTTTTTATTTTTTATTTTTGATTACAGCTTGATTCCACACTGTATTTTTGGTACAAGTATGGGATTTTCAGCATGGATACCGGTAGCCCAAATTGGCAGGCCGACCATAGATATCAGGTATGCGTCGGCAGGGAATCGAACTTCGGACCATGTGCATGGTCGGCCACCGACGCACAATCTATTCTTTTAGCTGACAAGGTTTTACAATAGACAGAAAAAATAATAACTTAAGAGACAATTAATCGACGTACAAATATAACCAGACTTTTTTTTCTATAGTTTGGTTTGTAAGGCTTAGTTATGTTCTTACGAGTTGATCACGGATTGATATCAGTCAGAGAACCATTGAAAACCAAGGAGTACTGGACACCTACTGTTTCATCCTAGGTTGGGAACACTACCAGACGTGACTTTTTCAATATTCAAAGGAGACTAGATAAACCTCGGCTATTGTTGATAACAGAAGTGAATAGTAAGGGTGAGTTTGTCGTCAAATTTAAAGATGTGTGTATGTATACCTTGTGTTAAAGGTTTGTTTACTACAAGCATATTTTTATTTATTTAAACGCAGAAAAAACTTGGTACAACATGGCAAGAAGAAAGATGCGCCACACCACTTCATTTGTGTGAGGGCCGAGATACCGCTCAGGCGCCCAGACCGAAGCAAGTGGTTTTATTAAAGGACCACCCGCCCCCGAGCCTTTGACTTGGAGTCTAATCCGAAAGGCAGTGGAGCAGCGTCAGGAGCTGCATTCCCATGGTTTCTGGTGACCCATATGGGTTCATATGCCATTCGATCCCATTGGATTCTGGAGCCCATGTATCCCATGTTAACTGCCTTTAGTCTAACTGCTATCCAAACAACCTTCCTGACATGGCAGGACCTGCAGGAACATGAGTCCCAGCCAGTTTAGCTTGTTGGACCACTGCGGTATTCAAGACCGACCACCACGGCAAGGTAGCAGTTGTCGGCCAGGTTTCATTCTTAGAAAGTGTAACAAAATATCAACTTGACAAACTACACATCCTTACCTACTCGATGGTAGTCTGTAACGCAGAAATCTACACAATATCTGAGATATTTTGACTCCGAGTGGAACTGTGGCTTACTGATTTAGGCGCTTGACTTCCAGCCACTGGATTACTAGGTTTAGAACCCCGTGCTACTTATGAGGTTTGGGTAGCCAGGTAGCAAGCACCATTAGTCTTCATACAATAGATGTGGCTTATTATCCAATTGCATGAAAAACAAATAGTCGCTGGGAAACAGCAAAGTGGGCAGGTGAGAAGCAAACAGCACTTACACATTCAAGTACGCGAAGCTTTCTTCGGCCTCTAACGTTATGTTAGAACTCAGTTATCCAGAACAAAATATTAATCATGCACCAGGCTAAGAGACACACTTATTGTGCAGAGACAGACGATATTACCCGGCTGTCTAGGTTGAATTATGTGGGCCAGTGTCTCTTATACTTTCTCCACAGTTAATAATATATGCAGCAGATGCAGCTTTTTTTCCAAATTATTCCTAAATGGACAAAACCACCCTGTCAGTTTCATACTGGAACTGGCCACATCCAAGCCAAAGTGGATTACAAGCCTCACACTAAGATTCTGTTGTTTAGTGATGATCATATATACGTTCTATTTCTGAGACACAACCCCTGTGGTTGCTTGCACAACCCTACCCCGCAATTGTGATGTCGAAGAATTCTGAGGATGGTTCTTATGAACTGTTAATGAATGAATACCATTAGACACTGAAGTTACAATATTACTGCTTGACTGAATCCTCGAGATAAATCGCATAACTCTGTCCTGAGAACCTGCTTCCAAAATAGTGTAATCTCAACCTACACTATGATTTAGACTACCGAATATTCAACCAACTTTATTAGCATGGTTTGACCTGCAGCGATATTTGCCCCTGCCAGTACGCAAACCCAACCAACTAAGATAGCAGTTATCGATTTAAGGATTTCTACCAGTCCTCTATTTCATTATAAAACCCTCAATCTTATATGTTTATGATAGTATCTCTCTACTTGTTTTATTGTATTGTATCACGGGAGTGATATACTTTTGCAAAATTATTTAGCTTGATCTGCATAGGTCAATCTATACTGCTACTTCAGGTCTGTCTGTTTGTTTTCGACATAGAACTTTGCACCGATGTGCACCAGTTCAAGTCGCCACACTTTCCCCATGTAGCACACAAATCAGAAGAAAGTTAAAAACGAATGCATAATAGAGACAGTAAGCAGAGATGTGAGACAAAGGAGGAGTAATAACGAAGAACAAAACAGTTTCATTGGAAATCATAAGTCACAAGGAGTGGATGCATCTGCGCCACTGAGAACGATTTTGAGCCATGTCACCAATTGTTTCCAACCACTGGATTTTACCGTCCCGAGGACCCCAACCAGGAAGCCAGTCTACATCTTCCTACGTGGCTTAGACCAACTGTTGTGGATTTCATTGACTGGTGCCAAGTTTTTGTTTGACCGCCGCTAGCTCTTTTCCAGCAGTCCTATATTAGCTAACACTGCCCGTCGAGGAAGGGCATACGTACTACATGTCCTAACCATCTCAGTCGATGTAACTTCACAGCCTCGTCGGTTGACTTCCCCTCCGAAGGGTGAAGATATGATCAATACACCCTCTTCCTTGTCTAAAGCCTGCCTGGCTCTCTCGTGTTTGTGCCTCCCGAGTACCACTTAGTCTACGCATGATTATTGAGCCTAGGACTTTAGATACTATATTAGTCAAGCTATTCCCTCTCTGATTATCACAGGAAGACTTGTCTCCCTTCTTGTATATGGGGATAATCAGTGACTTACACCAACCCGATGGGATTTCTGATTCCCAGACGCTGCCTACAACCTCAGTTAATGCAGACAGTAAACTTCAGGTAGCAACAAAAATACTCACCTGAACATCCAAGAGTATCACACGGTCTTGAGTGATATATAAGTCGATACCACCAGTACACGGAGTGTTATTTATTATGTGGTCAACACTTTGGATATTAAAAGGACCATCAAAAATGGAACAGTCATCAGAAATATAATTTGCCAAAATATTTAAAATAGATGATTTCCCCGACCCCTAAAATCTATAATAGAAGATTAGCATGTAGTTAATTACCTGTAAACCAATAGCGCCAACAACAAGAAATCCAGAATTATCAATGAAAAGATTCTGAAGTGTTTGAAGATCAGCAAATTTTAGCTGTTCATCGATAAGCTTGATTGGTGTTTGCATAGGATCATCGCAAAGTGTATACAATTCATCAGGTTTACTCTCCTCCCCTTCGAGTAGTTCATCTTCGTTTACTGGAGTACTGAAAAAGTCTAGGATGCTTTTTATTTTATCGGATTTTTCCTCCTAGAATGTGAGAATGGATTTAAAAGGTAACAAGCCACATACCTCCATCTTAGTAAGACTACAGAAAAACGATGATCTCTAGTTGTCTGTAGAAATATCAAATCGCAATTAATCAGTCGTAGTATTTATTGCCTGGTTTCAGTGTCATAAAAGATAAAAGCATATAATGTAGACAAGTAGAACGCAAATTATACAAGAAACACTTTAACTTAGTCTACTATTATTATATAAGAAAAGAAAGTTTCATCATCCGTCCTATTCTCCTCCAGTTTTTATTATTTCGACATCCTACATAATCCTTCACATTTACCTCTTATTAAGCCGCTATTTCCATTTAAAAATAAACACCTTCAAATGCCGCTTAAACTAACGAAGTATACAATTTGACACGGGTATTGATTATAGAAACAACAGTACACAAGTACATGTTCTTCGAGTTGTATCGTAAATATTGTCAATAAGACTGTAAATTGAAAGATCAATGAACTACCATTTCGTAACTATTTAGATAACTATCCAGATAATTGCAGTTACTGCGTTCCGGATCCCCTGTGTATCCCCTTTCCAAATGTTTAGACGAGCAGATTTTGACCTGTGTATGAGTGAATAAATTCTGATGTGGTTTAAACAACAAAAGCAAAACTTACTTCACAATGTAAAAATACCAATCTCCTTTTTCAAATATGTACTGGACATCAGAGGAGTATCTTAAGATAATTAGCTAATTAGCCACTCTAATGAGATATTTTCTAGAAACATAAAATCTTTAAAGCTATTTTTATAGTTCTTAGATATTCAGAAGTTTGTATTACTTGGTACAGACAAAGTGATTTAGTGCCACTCATGCTGAAAAACCAGGGCACAGTTTTAATGTCAGAGAATGGCAGAACAATTAGGCAGTTTACTTATTAAATGATGTTACTATATCAGCATAGTATACGTTATTAAGCTTAATGATTTCAGGTTTACCATAATCCCTTAACTACCAACATAATAACTGGGAACTTAAGTTCGCAGTTCATGCTAAAAATAAGCTTAGTAGTAGCATCGAGTGACAAAAACTGACCTACACACTGCAAAATGAGCAAAACATCCAAAAATCCTTTAAAATTCAATGGAAAATGAATTCACAAAAACATATAAGCAGCCGACGCAGGAACCCATCATGACCTTGAAACTGACTGTAGCCTCTATCCACCTGCCAAAAGTAACGCAGTGCTCTAAAATTGTTCGAAAATATTCAATATCCAGAATCATATTAGTCCAAACAGAATCAACTTCTTTGTGCTCGCTTTTTACTTGTAAGGTGAAAGTTCTGGACCTTCGCTAAACTTCTTTGCAGTCTGATCAGCCACTCTTCTGCTATAGCCTTGGTTGACTTCAGAGGAAGTGGTACAGATAATGAGCATGCAAACAGATAGTGCGGGATATGCAGACTTAAAATGAAAACGGACAAAAATTATTGAACAATTAGGAATAAACAAACAAAAATGATGGGAAATAGTAACAAAATGTGGGAATGGAAAGGCAGTGCCAGAAAACTGAGACAAGGAAGAGTAGGCCGTGGTAAAAGACCATTTCAGATGTACATCCATTAGCAGTGGGTGTGTGAGTTTAAGAGAGACACTGCTTGCACGATGTTCTTATGTAATTGCACGATTATTCAGCCTCTTCTAAAAGCCTTTATCTGGAGTTGCAGTATCCACAACTGCTTCTAATTAGTTCCAGGATGACTAAAACTGAGGTGAAACAGAGTTTGGGCACACTCGAGTTTTTGCTCTCTGGTGCATCCTGCTTTACACGCTGCAGCTAGGAATCCTGCCATCAAGTAATGAACAATACCTCTGTTCAGATGATCGTCTTCACTGGTAGTCTCGTAGGCAGTCATTAGGCCTTCACTAAGCGAATGGCGCCTAGTATGATAACGCTTAATTTCTTCGACCTTTCATTATGTGCTTGATTCTGGAGACCTATAACCCTTTTTTGTTGCCCGTCTTTGGACTCTTTCCAAATAATTGGTGCCCGTTTTAAGCAATGAGAGAACGGCGACTTTGTGCACTTCAACGTGTGATCTGACGGATGTAAATTTTTGTCTTTTCAAATTTTTGATTACAGCTTGATTACACACTGCATTTTTGGTACAAGTATGGAATTTTCAGCATGGATATCGGTGACCCAAATTTCGCAGGTGGACCATAGATATCAGGTGTGCGTCGGCAGGGATTCGAAATATGCAGGCCTTCACAAAACCGAGGATTGGGTGCACCTTCCTGTCTATGCTTGAGGCGTAAAGCTGCATATACCATAACCATATCATACGTTTATCTCACGTTTGGGTCCCACATATCCGTTAAAACCAGACTTTTCTGACGTTACATATGACTCCTCGCGTCGTTCGGGGACGCTGTTGTATTATGCATTAAAGTCATACCACTGACGAGTGCCTAGTTTTCCATGTTTCTCAGAGCTACAGCAAGTCGACACTTTGCTGTTACGCTTCTTTTCAGATAATTTCGGCCAGCTATAAAGTTTCAGAGAGCATCGGAATGATTGCACTCAGCACATATGCAGTTTTCAGCTGAGGACACACAGTTTGCAAGCTAATCCAGAGTGAACGAGTAGGCTGTAATTCTTGGCTAGACTTCACAGTGTTAAGAAGCCAACATGGACGATGCACATTTTCATCACAAATCTAGTTTGCTAGCTGACAGAGAGTTTCAGTTGAACGCACCAAGTTTCTGTCAGCCACAAAAGGTCAACACAAATGAAAGGTATGTTAAAGTCCATGAATAACTTTTTCAGCTTGTCTGCGCTTGCTTCCATGCTGACAACTTCCATTCTGTCACCAGTTATCACGTACGTTACATTTTTTCTCGACCATTACTTGTGGGTATCCAAGGAACAATCGGACAAATGGCTTCAGGTTTGGTTGCTCAGCACTCTTCAAGGCTACTACGTGACCCTTTGGAGTTTATGGAATCAGTCATGGAATCGTGCTTCGCTGAGGCTGAGACCAACCTGGCGCGAATCGAAGCGGCTGGGAGCATCGACCAGGATTTCTTGGAAACGATTTCAGTGTAGCTTTATGGGATTTTAGGGAGACGGCAACTGGACAGTGATTTCATTTCCTCCCTCGAGACAACACCATCCAGCGAGGCACATCATCATGTTGTATCAGCCAACCTTTGGACTTCCGTTGACTCGGGTGTACAAAGTTCCTTTTTCATTTAGCGCATTTTCAGACCTCCACTGACTGGAAAAAGAATATAAAAAATGCGGAAGGAACGAGACTGACCATTTTATTTGTTTCGAAGGATTCTCAGATTGTATTTAGTGTCCCTACACTGAAGATAAATTTTGCACGAATTGTGAATGTCTTTAAATTCAGCTGACTTTAAATAGCATAAGTCTTCGAGTTGACAGAAGTGTTTTGTTAGTTGTGACAAGCTGGGAACATATTATGTGTGTCATACTTCTGGCTACAAACTAAGGGTCCACTAAATAACCATGGGTCAGTAGTCGTATTTTATCGTCCGATTAGGAAAAAATTTGTAGCAGACTTTGGGTTTACTGCAGATAAATGTCCCACACTGCTATACTTTCGAAGATTTTGTCCCGAAATATCTGAAGTACAACCGAAGCAAATGCCAGCTGGGATAGTCATATGTGGTCGTCAAAACAACAGGAGCATTTGTGCTCTCCGTTCAAAGGCACTGTTTCCAGAGCAAAATCACCCCGCGGATGTGGATTACAATGTGCAAATCCCGATATTATACTAGAATACATTCAGGTTTGCACGTACTAAAATGAGCTGAACGCTGAATGTGATGAGATGATAACAACGCTATATGAGGAAACATGTGTAAATACTTGACAGTCGGCGAAAACGAACTTCCAAAGACTTTTAAAAAACGCTGGTGTGCGTAGCAGCAGAATGTATCTGAGGAACAATCGAAAGCCAGTATCCGGTTATATAGTCAGCAATGTTCGATAAGCATGAGTAAACTGAGTTTTAGAGAGAGTACCATATGGATACAACAATTAGGTTTCCAGGTGCTTCGTTACGCAGTATACGAGCTCGCTGGCTTTGTGGCTTGTTCCATGCCCTGTAATACGGAGAGTGTTCCCCGTGGTTTTGCCACCTTGCTTCGCAAAATCGGCCAAAAAGCTACATATTTCAGTGGACAAGAGAAATTTCGCATGTACAAAAAGCTTATTTTTTGCCATGATAGGAAGGAAGAAGTAACAGGGACTAGTGAAAACTTCGAGAAACCAGTCAGCCAATCTGTCTTCTTCCAAAGACAGCTAAAATAATCTGCGAGAATACATGGAATAGTGAGTTGGCAATCTATCCCAAGCACCCAGACGATAGTCACGAACACACGGAAGCAGTGGCCATCATGACGTCACCAACAGTAGCCAAATCTCCATTGTGGATAAAACAAATCTCCTCCAGGATTATGAAAGTCACAAACAACTTGGAACAAGAATATAGGGAAGATTTCTATGGACAAGTGAAACAACTTATGGATGACGTCCTGAATGGCAACAGCAAAACCCTTATGGATGGTGTAAATGCTAGCCGACACCGGGGAGGAAAATACAGGAAAAGAAGTTATCATGGATCTACAGGCTTTTAGTTTACTGGATGGGAATGCAGAACCCTTCGCAGACTTGTTCACTTTCAATGAATCTGAGGCTACGTGTATAAACACAAGGATATGCATGAGGCGACATCGACCTTACCCGACGGCTACACCAAAAACCAGACAAACATCATCTCAGTGGTACTCAAGAAAGTGGTGATGCAGTCTGCTGGATACAAAGTCGGGAAGGGGAACAGACGTGGGGTCAAACCATGATCTGGTGTAAGGAATCTTCAGGGTTAGGCTGCGAGCCTTCAAAACAAATGGAGAAAGAATACAGTTCAAGTTCAATACCTTCACTGAAGCCATTAGAGGAAAGTTGGAGGCACTACGTAGCATCGCTGAGGAGACCAAAGTAGATGTGCGCTGGGATTGTGAGAAAGTGACATTCAAGGAAACGTGTGCTGCCGTTTTAGTAAGCAAGAAAAGATAAGAAAAGAGATGGCATTATGGCATGGAATTTAACAGAAGACAGGAAGATAATGAAACGGAGGGTGAATCAATATAAAGATAGACAATATAAGCACGAGGTGAACTCAGTGTAAGTCGAACTGAACAAGAAGGTGGAGAAGAATGCCAGTAAAGACAGAAGACAATTCTATGACACCACCAGTTGAGGCAAATTAGGCTGCAGAAAATCAAATTATGTTACCACAACTCTATCAGGGAAGAGGTCAACGGGGATTGAAGCCGTATAAGGTGGTAAACGGAGCCTAATTAACACAAAGGAGAGACAAACAGAACTACTACATCTGTAGCAGCACGTTCCTCACTCGTTCAGATAAGAAGACTTGTTGGTCTGCCACTTGATCGCTGAAAAGCCGATTAACCAAAAAGTACTAGGTAAGGTCGTAAACGTTTCCTCATCTCGTACTTTATTAATCTTTTTGTTCTTGTTCTATTGAGCAGATACTATCGCTGTCTGTTATTTATATGTAAGCATAAGTTATGGTAATTATTAATACGGAGGTTGAAATCAGCCTTAAAAATCTCCAAAACTCCATCTTTTGTGGTCACAAGGGCTTCAGCTGGAGGAGGCGACAATGCAGAGACATGAGCCCCATCTCTCATACAGATTCTAAAGATGCGTATACATCTCCCCTGTTCTGATACAATGCCTACACCGCCACAGTCTGGCACTGAAGTGGCACAGGCAAAACCAAGTGGATATGATACTAAACCTATATCCTTTGGAAGCCAATGTGTGACACACGGCAGTACGAAAGGGAAACACTCGAGACGTCATAAGACCTCGAGAGTGTCTTCTAGAAAAGGAGACGAATGCCAGGTCAATAGTGTTTTTATTTCCAGAAGTGATTTACCATTTGAATGCAAACTATGTGTGCGCTGCCGTTCTGACCAAAGGAATGTCAAATAACCGGTGCCCATGGTTCTGTTACATTTCCCAATTTGTCGCCCTGTCACAGTCCCACATAGCGTGTCTTCGGATACCAGAAACAGCACGCTAATCTGTGTCTCGACAGTCTCATGCTGCGTTCCGCCTGCTAACTTCACACTACTAAAACTTGGTAAAAACCGTAGGAAG